GAACATCACAAAAATATTTAAAAGGGGGGAGCAAGGGAAATAAAATGGAGGCCATCCATCATGAGCTCCATTTTCTTGCCCATTCCAAACCTTAAACTCCCAGCTCTGTCCCTCATTATTTGTATGACTGTAGATAGGTTACTTCACCTTTCTGTGACTCAGTTTCCTCATTTGTAAGATGAAGGGATTGGATTAGATGACCTCTATGAAGCCTTTCAGTACTATGGTCCGCTCTCAAATTCTCTTCATCATTCCCCATTTTCTTCTTTTTTTTCTAGGCTAATGAAAAGATGGATCTTCTTGTCAAGGTTAACGTGTCCACTCACCATCTTACTCTCATCCCCTACTCTCTCCTCTGGAAATTTTCCCCTTGAGCCTTCATTTTCAGTCTCACCTTATCCCCTAACTCCTTCTCCAACCCCTACAAACATGGTTGGGTCTTCCTGACCCTTAAAAAAAATCTTTATTTGATTCTGCCATGTATCATCTTCTTTCTCCCTTTTATATGCAAACTAAAAAAGGGTGGGTTACCCTCCTTGCTTCTTTTTCCTCACCTCCTATTACTAACTTTTTGTAATCTGGCTTCTGAATCTGCCGCTTGTTGAAATGACTGCCTTCAAGGACTATGATCTTTTAATGATCTTTTCACTGCTAATCTAATGGCCTCTTCTCAATCCTCATCCTTCTTGACTTCTTTGTGACTTCCGCTCCCTCCTACTGGGTGCTTTCATCTCCTTTGCATCCATGGCACTGATGTGCTTTAGGAGTTCTGGGATCGGCTCAAATTGGCTCAAGAAAGCCAATTATTAGATTTTCAGGGGGAGCATTTGCACTTCAGAAATTGGCAAATGCTTCGAATCAGAACTTACCTATTGATTCTACTGATTGACTAGACTTAAGTGATGGAGAAAATGTGAATAAAATGATGTTTTAAACTTAAAAGTGTGTGGTACATACTTCCGCCCACACATATTCCCCAAAAGCCAATTGTTAACATCTATCAGCATACCATTGTAATCTCTTGGTCTTCTACTTGTAGGACCACAGCTTCTTAGTCTCCTCTGCTGCTTCATCAACCTTTTTTCCTTCAATTGTGGGTGCCCCTAAGGCCCTATTCTGAGATCTCTTCTCTCTATCTTCCCTTCCTTAATGACCTTACCAGATTCCATAAATTCAGTCTTTATTCAGATGACTGCCAGATCTACATGTCTAGCCCTAACCTCTCTTAAACGCCAGTTTCCTATCATCAAATTCCCACTGGACGCTTACACCTGGATGTCCTGTAGACAAATTCAGCATGTTCCAAACAGAACTCATTAAGTTTTCCCCCAAATCTCCCCTCTTCTAAACTTTTCTGTTGATGGCCCACCATCCCTCCAGTCACCCCAGCTGTGCAAACTTGGAATAATCCTTGACTTTTGCCCTTCCATCATTGCCCCATTCCTGTTATATCCAATCAGATGCCATCCTTCCAATTTTACCTATCCCACTCCTCTCATATCCATCTCATTCTCTCCACTCACATAAGCCTATAATGCAGGGCAGGTACTCATCATTTCTCACCTGGATTATTGTAATTTCTTCCTAATTTGTCTCCCTGCCTCCAGTCTCCCTCTTCACTAATTCATTCCCCACACAATTGCCAAATTAATATTCCTAAAGCACAGGACTGACCATGTCACCCTCTACTCATAAATATTTAGCAACTCTTATTTTCTCTAGAATGAAAT